ATTTTTTAAATTCATTAATAAATGCTGACAAAAGTGTCATGTCATTAACCGACAGGCTAAATTAAATAACAAAATCACAATCTGAATTCCTTGAGTTTTATATGTTGAGCCTATCATTAGTTAGTTAACTAGGTATATAAAGACATAAATAACACAGAAAGAGAAAACTGTTTATCCAGAACTTTTATATAACCATCACTCTGTTAATGATTTGTTTACCTGTAACAGAAAAATATATTTAAAGAAGTCTAAGACCCCTCCATCTAGACTCGTCACCTTAATAATGTTTCTGAGTATACTCAAGGAGACAGATCCTCAAAATAACAACCTTTAAGCTCCCAATTGCTTTGGTTACCTTGAGATGTGGTTAACAATAGCATATGGACTTTACACTTCCAAAGTATAAACCCTTTTGCCAACCTTGTATTAAGCAGACTAAGGGCTCACTGATGTCATCTCTGTGTGTGGAACTTTATGAGATGCCATTTAAGGCTGAAAACATGAGATCTGACTCATCTGAACTACTCTGCAGTGCATTTATCATACAGAGTAAACTTCAAACTGTCCTCTGATTTTTTTTTTTTTTTTCAAAAGTTGTTTAAGTAAAATAATAAATCAAACATTCTATGTGAAGTTATGCATTTTGAGAACTGAATAATTGAATAATGATAAAATAACACAATCTCAGTCAGTAATTGATGCATCTGAATAACACCAGGCATAATATATATTTAAATGGATGTCATATTGATTCAGATTGAGTTGTATAAATGCATTCAATGCATGCAAAATTAGCCAGATTATTTTGATAATAATGAAGATACGAAATGTACATAAAATAAAATAATTAGCTTTACACTTCAAAATACAAACATCCGACATAATATCTCAATAAAGCAAGCAAACAAACAAGAAAGAGAGAATTTTACATTTATAGAATGCAAAGCAAACCGCAAAGTTTTAACTGCTAATCCATGTGTGCATTATAAACTTACCTTTACTCAGGGGTGTTTTTGCCCTATTGGTACACTCCATTCTGTACCTTGCCATTCACTTAGGACTCCATTACCAGTTAACAGCTGCCTCATATTAGTAGAACTATAAGAATAGCACACACACACTCTGTCTTCGCTGGTGATTTTAGCCCTCTTGAGTTTCCTAGATTTAGCCTTTCTCGTGTTTTGATCCGTGGACAGTTACCTTGTTTGTGATTTATTGCTGCCTGCCCTGACTTTTGCCTGTCTTGTGGATTACTCTTTTGCCTGTGCCTTGGATGTTATTGTTTGTTGGTGTTTGACCCTGCCTGTTATGACTACACTCTATGAAATAAAGCCTTGCTTTTGGATCCCCAACTCCGTCATCACGACTGCCTTCGTTACAGCATGAACTTGATTTCTTTCCTAAAAGTTTATAAGCTTCACCCTCAATTCTCTGTTTCACCTTCTTTCATAGTAGTTAATCAGAACGTGTAGGAGCTGATGGCTAAAGACACAATTGCAGTAAATATTAAATAAAATGTTTAAATTAGCAATCTATTGTAGGTCTCATATGAACCTATTATTTGTCCTTTAAATGTAGCAATGCTGTAAACAGAGACGGATGAAACATCAAAGATGAAATTTTTTTATTAAAGTTTCATCTAATCACCCTCATGTTGTTTCTAACCTGTTAAAGTGACTTATGTTTTTCCATTAAATACAAAATGAAATGTTTAGCAGAATGACAGTCTCAAAGTGCAGTCACATTTACTGTTGCTATGGAAAATTTTACAGGAGAAATCCAGTCATTCCAATGGGAATCTGTGCTTGATCAGGAGTTTTGTGTGAGGGGAAAGAAGTTCCCCACATAGATTTAATTCATTGTACTGACCAACAGAAAGGTTCTTGTTTTGAAAGTGACTTCTGTGTTTGCTCTGCTCCATGGATTGCTACACTATCGACACTATAGACAATTGTCCATTGACAATTTCTGCCCACACAATTGACTTTCATTATGTGGAAAAGAGCTGCAATGAATGTGAATGGTGACTGAGATTATCAGTCTCTAACATTCTGCCTAACCTGCTCTTTCGTATTCCACAGAAGAAACTTTATAGTTATCATAAAAATTTGAAACATGAGGATGATGACAGAACTTTCATTTTGGGGTGCACTATTGTCTGTTTTTAAAAACACCTATACAGAATGTTAACATATACAGCAAAGGTAAGAGGAATTTGCCAATTATCTAAGTTTGTATGTGTGGCTTTTTTTCCCCAGACAGTTTTCAGTGGTCCCAAACATCTCAGAGATAATTACAGATCTCTAGCAGGCAGACAAATCAAGCATCACTTTCTTGTCCTTGCCCTCCTTGTAATATTACAACAATTATGGCAGAATTATATAATTCTGAAGTGCATAGTAAATTTCTTAATTCAATTTGATCAAAATGATGTAAATCAAGCTTTTGTGAATAAATACAGAAAAATACCAGAATTTAGATTTCTACTTGACACAGCAGAGATACTGAAACATTGACACCAATGTCTTCAAACTGAGGATGGAGACTATAGGGTAGAGCATGCTGATGAGGAATGGATCAAGCTGCTCTTTGCATGCACTGTGAAGACTCCCTCAGGAACTGGAGCTATTGTAGCCAAAGCAAAAAGAGTTTTTCACAGTCAAAGTGACAGTTTTAGTGTCATTCAGTATGTAAATAAACACACTTTTAGATGTGAATCAAGATAAATGCTGAAACTAAAAGAGTCTAAGAAACGTGACGTGAATACAATGTCTTTTTAATTTCAGAAATTATACAAAAATATATCTGTTTATTGTTATTGTATAGACACAGGTCCACTCAAACCTGTATATGATCATCTTGACAGCAGAACATGTACCCTTCTGCAATAATTCAATGATAATTTGAATTGTACATATAATCTATCCCTATATATATGCTATTCTCAGATATATTCTCCATTGATTTTTTTGTATAATACACACACACACACACACACACACAACAATATGTTTATAAAAAGTTGCATATAAAACATCTTAAAAACCAAATAAAAAAAGAGAAGATTTCAGGGTAAGATTCCTTCATTCATTGTCTTGTCAGTACAAGTATTATTTCAAGCATAGTAAAAAGTAAGATTATTTTGGAAGCATGGGAATGGAAAAAAACAAAATGCTCTTGGGGAGCAGACCTTTGTGTCTACACAAATCCTGTTACATGCTGTGTAATTGCTGCTTTTTGCATAACCCCTTTGACATAACTCAACAAAATAACAGGGATGATTAGATGTTGACAGAAGACAAAAACTTACATTTCAACGAAGCTGGAAAAAAAAATGTTTTTCCTTGATTTTTTCAATTTATGCTGAAAACTTTAAAACTGTAAATCATCTCTTATCTGGTGCGATTGCATATTAACTTCAACAGCACAGTAATGGACAAAATAAATGCAATATAACTATACGCTTTTTTTCTTATGACAGTGTTTGAGCACTGAAACAAACAAACCTTCATTTCATATCTTTGCTTATTCAGATCAACAAAAACTAATATAAACTGTGTGATATAGAAACAGCATGTACATTTATCAATAATTAAACCTTATTCTACAGTGCAATTCAAACTTTACTGCATAACATTACACACACACACACACACACACACACACACACACACACTGCCTGTGGCAACATTTCGGCCATATTATATTGTTGCTTTTTGCACTCAAGCATGCAAGAATCACTGCTAACGTTTAATACTCCAAACAGGTGGATGTGAATCTGGCAATGTTTCATTACACTGGTTGTTGTACAAATTGTCACAGTTTATAAATGAAACGTTTGTGGTGCTAAATGTGAATGCTCTATCACATCTGACATACAATACCACTAACAATAAATTGTTAAAATCATGAGATAAAGACACATTTGCCATGTCATTTAAGTCTTTGAGCTCTTTTGCTGTGACTTGTGTTTCAGCAGCACTCCTGCGGAAGTGCTCTGCATCACATTTGCAGTGCTGTACTAGGTGAGTTACAGAGCAAGTTTACTATATCAGATGGAGCATAACATATGGAGCTGGTCACATGATGCAAACACTATGTACAGTATTAGTTTACAAATCATGCACTGTGGTAAAACGGTTCATAACATAAAATTGTGCAAGGAACTGCACAAAAATAAGTCTTTATTAATAAATAATCTGCTCCTGTAATCAAAATTTGTGTAAAAAAGAATAAAAGTTGTTAGTGTTTTACCTCCACTAGTGTTCATTTCAGCTGGAAACTGTTGTGAATATTATGTATAGGTACGTTTTTAGAGTTTTGCAAAAATGGAGGTAGAGGCATGTTTTTCCAATGAGCCTAGATTGCAAAGAGATGAACATAGTATTTTACATTTGAGGAGCTAGTGAATATTCCATACCATGTGCAATAATCAACAGGACAGTTTCTGTTTGGTCTATGACGTGTTAGATTAATTTAACACACAAATGTGGGATTTTGATTCAGTTTGATATTTGAGTTCTAATTCAATCACAATCACACTGAGAGAAAAGAAGCTATTTTAATCTTTGATAATGCAAAAATGTTATATTTTGCAGAAGAATGAGCTTTGCAGTGCATATATAGCAGTATAGTTGAATGAGCTGCATTCAGACTATTTAAATGCTTCTAGAGAGGGATACATAAGAATGACTGTTTGTCATGTGTTATTCATCTGATTAATGGACATATGGACCTAATTAGTCCAAATAGTAATGTGACATATTCTGACTTGTTCCGAGCAATTAGAGCCCAACACAATTTGTGTCATAGATGTGTACTCTTTAAGGTCACTTTACTGGTTACATTGAGGCTTTTCTTTATTCTGCAGTCATTGGTATTGCTAGATCTCCACGTTATTTGAACACATCAAACATTTTCAGATGAGCTTCATTAAAGGAATGAAAAAAATGAACATTGTTGTTTCAAACCTGTATGTTTTTCTTGCTTTTTTTTCAACACTTTAGCAGAATATTCACACTGCTCTTTTTCATACAATGAAAGTCAATGATGACTGGGGGTGTCAACCTACAAATATATCGAACAGCACACTAAAAGTAGCCCATCTTACAAGTCTGATAAATGTCAAGTGTTCTGAAGCCATATGATGAATTTGTGTGAGAAAAAAAAGCACTTTTAAAAGAATTTAAGACTATCATTATTAACTAATACTTGTGTCTGTGTGTGTGTGTGTGTGTGTGTGTGTGTGTGTAAACCTAACTTCCGTCCAGTATTGAAACATTAATAACACTATAAATGTAATTCTTAAATTTACTTTATAAGAATCTAGATTTCACAGCAAAAAGACATGTACCACGAACAGAAGGTGGACATTTTTACAATTATACTAAAAGGCCTTATACTTGCTAAAAAGCACATACCATCAATCAGAGGGCAGACAAATGTGTTGGACAAGTAGAACAGGTTTGTTAGTGATGTTTTGATTATATAGATAATTTAGAGGTAATGTAAATGTATCAAATAGGCTTTAAAGGCTTAATGGTGTCATCATTTTGGAGCTTGATAGTTGCTGGTTACCATTAACTTTCTTTGAATGGAAAAGAGCAGCATGGACATCCTGCTTAACATATCTTGTTTGTGGTCTATTAATGAAAAAAGTCAAACATGTTTGGAACAACATGAGGGTGAGAAAACAATGACAATTTACATTTTTTGGTGTACTATCCTTTAAGTTAATCAGCTTCTTGTTACTGCATTCAAACTAGGTTTAGGCGATGGATTAAACCACTGGTGATAAGGTGATGTTGTTGTGATTGTGCTTTTCAGAATGACAGTGTTTTACTAAGGTGTTCTGTCTAATACATTGTGTTGTCAACATGCCATCCTTGTACATATGTGATAGAGCATTAGAAAGATACTGTATCTCACCCCTTTAGATTCTGTTAGATTTCATACTTTTTAAAGATAATTTTATACGTAAATGTCTTAATGCATACTGCAAAGCAAGCAAAAATTAATAAGCTTTATGTTTTGGTCGGAGAGCATGATTAAGTCAGACAGTGGTGCAATAAATTCACTGAAAGTGCAAGAACTGACATCTTTGATAAATGTCATGAAAACCCATGAGAGGTTAGCAGCCAGTCAGTACAAGCTACAGAATCATAAAAGTTATATATATATATATAGCGATTCCCTTCATGTATTACAGGTGATAAATCTATTTAGTGGCACATAAAAATCAAATCCGAGGCAAATCATTTTTCAATTCAAAATCATGGTGCAGAGGCCAGTGTGTAATGTACTTCCAGTGCCAAAACACAATCTGACAAAAATAAAAAAAATAGTTCTGGTTCAGAGGCACTTCATATAAGCAGAGAAAAGTGAACAAAAATATCATCCACTTATTCCAAATGTATGTGCAACTTCATAGTGTGCTGCCATCATTTCAAACCTTACTTTCTCAACATAGTTCTTACGTGGGCTTTTAGATATTTGCTACGTTGTTGTGATACTTGGGTGTAAGTCTCAGAAGCTCGATTCAGGGACTGCCTTCTTTCTACCCAGTGAGTTTGTGCTGTAGCGTGTGCGTTGCAGGGTGTTCTGAGAGCCCCTGTCCATAGGAATGCTCTGCGGCTGAGCCGCTGACGTGCCGTTCCTGTGTAGAGATGCCGTCCTTCTTAAGCTTAGATCGGCCTTGCTTTGAATATTGGAAGAACTTTGTGAGCGTTTGATGTCTGATGACCCACGACTCACCTTGCCATTTGCAAATTCATCTCCGAGTCTGCTACGAACTTGGTTAGTGCTATTAGCTTTACCTTCTGAAGTTTTTTTGTGTGTCCCATTGGAGAGTGAAACTCCAGATGGGCTTTTCACCTCTGCGTCACCCCTTTTCACAGATTCACTGTCTCGAGACCTCCGAAGCGAGTCTTTCTTCATGAAACCACCTTTAAGAAAAGCAAAGACACTGTCGTGATGTTTTGTCTCCTGCCCTTTTCTCTGTTTCTCCTCCAGATGTTGTCGCTCCTCGCCTGGATCATCCCTCTGCGCTGTTTCCCACCCGCTTGGACCACTGGAACTGGATTGGATCTCTGTGCCGGAGCTGTTTCTGGACTGTGATTTGTCCTGTTTTGATTTTCTGCTGCTCCGTCTGGTCAAAGTTCCATCTTCTCTTGGTCTACTGCTGCTGCTGGGTTGTTGGCCCATTGCTTTCTCTGAGCTACTTCTTTCTTGACTCCGTGGTATTTTGAGAAACTCTGGACGTCCGAGGCTGCTGTGGCTTGTAGATTTGGCTGTGGATTTTTTTGTATCTTCTTCTTTACCGCTTTCTTTATCGGAAGGTCGAGTCATTAGGGCAACAATGGGGTCTTTGGTGCATCTTGGCCTTCTGCCAGACTCTAAATACTCCACCAGCTCTGCAGGAGCCTGGCCAGGAGCCTGGGCAGGTTTGTGGCGGTCTTTGTTTCCAAAGGACCATCGCAGTGGGAGCATTTTGGTCTTGGTGGGACTTTTCATGCTTACGCTACGCCCTTGGATTCCTCGCACTAAAGGTCTGCTTTCAAAACCACCTAGAGACACTGATATTTACACAATATTTACCACATGGTGGAAAACACTTTCCCACAACACAACAAAAGTGAAGAACTATGATGAAATCTCTGTCAAGGAACATCCTTTTAGTATTTACATTTCTTATTTACAACGACAGAAACAAACTGGATGGGTAGACTCACCTCTCTCTTCTATTGAGGGTTCATTTTGAAAGACGGGAGACTCTGGGGAGTCTGGGATGGAAGAAGGGCATGTTGTGGAAGACCGTGATACCATACTTCCTCTTTTACTGTCACCATTCAAACGGATGAGCCAGTGATCTGACATAGAGGAGCTGGTGGAACCTGCACAATGAGACGATAAAGACTGTTTAGTGGCTGGTCCATGTTCCTCCTAGACATGGGCTTAAAGCATGCTGCACTCTCTCACTGCCCCTTCATTTTTAATAACTAAAATTCATCATCTGCACATGTTCTGTATTATCGTTTCCATGACGACCAAATCATGCATAGGCAGTGGCATCTTAGCCACCAGTCAAAATGAACTAAAAAAAACCCTTCATTCATTTTCAAAACCTGGGGAGAGGTAAAAGTAGAAATGTTTATATTTGCATACTGCAAATACTGTCAATTTAGCTTGTAAGAGAAAATGACTTGTACAACGGTAAGAAAACCTGGTCCTACACTCAAAATTCTGTCCCTGGTAAGAGGACATTTTTTCTTGCAATGACTGTGGAACATTCACATTGCAATATATATATGAGGGAAAAAAACGATTTCAGCTGATTTCTGCCTAACTTTGATCCACTGCGAAAAAGGTCAGTCAGCCTCCATCTGCAGTGTGACCACAAAGGCTCATTTACTCACCTCTGACCGAGCTGTTGGCGGACCAGGGTGGGATGACATTTCTTCTCTGGTAGAACAGGATATATGCCCCTCGTGTGCACAGTTCCTCCTCTGGCACAATCTCCACACTGCTGTCGTCATAACTGTACCAGTGGCCATCCACGGAGTTCCTACAATAGGCTGTTTTACAAAGACATACGCTGTAATCTGTGTGTGTGTGTGTGTGTGTGTGTGTGTATATATATATATATATATATATATATATATATATATATATATATATATATATATATATATATATATATATACACACACACACACACACACATACTGCCTTTACACTGTTCAAAAGTACCAATCTTAAATTGTAATCCTTTCTAACAATTATTTCTGAAAGAAAATAGAAATATTGTCTATTTAAGTAAGTCTTTACTATCACTTTTTGTATCAATTTAACACATCCTTGCTGAATAAAAGTATGAATAAAAAAAAAGAAAGAAAAAAATTGTACATTGTATAACAATACAAAATATTTCTTTAATTTTAAATTATTTTAATATACATATATATAATATATACATAATTTTAAACCTTTTATTCATCAAAGAATCCTGTAAAAACTATAACAGGTTCCAAACAAAAATATTAAGCAGCACAACTGTTTCCAACATTGATAATAAATCAGTGTATTAAAATGATTTCTGAAGGATCATGTGACACTGAAGACCATAGTAATGGCTGATGAAAATTCAGCTTTGTATCACAGGAATAAATTATATTTTAAAGTATATTAAAATAGAAAACAGTTATTTTAAATTGGAATAATATTTCACAATACATTCTATAAAAAATAGCATAGACATTTGTGACAAAATTCCTTGTTTATACTGTCTTTCTTAGCATGCTGTACTATAATTGATGCACCTTTATTTGCAAGTTTAGTGATCAAAATTTCTAAGAGATAGTGATTTCATAGAGAAGGAGGAGAATTTGTGGATCCTGTTACTAAAATGAGATCTTCCTCAGTCCTATTCCTAATGGGAATTACAAATTACAAATAAATAATTGGGCACAACTTAATAATAATAATGCAACTAAGCCTTCATCTAATTTTGTTCAATCTTATTTTATTTTCTTTATTCTTATATACCTGCTTATATGATTTACTAGGATTTGTGGTGACATTTCACTCATATCCCCCAACCTCCATTTAATTCATATTTCCACCATAGAATATTAAAAACAGCATATAAGAATTCACCTATAATGCATGTATTCAAATATGACAAATAAACTAGTGAGAGTGTAAAAAGTGACTTTTTTCATTAGTTTTATGTCACAGAATGAAACTCAATCACCTATAGTTGAAGAAGCATCAAAAAATGGCATGTACTGTATAACAATTATAAAAGAAAAAAAAGCATTTTAAATGGACAAATAACCCCTTGCTTCTTACTATCAGAGATCCCAGCACACTCACCTGTGTAATGGCCTCCATGCATGCCTCCGTGGTGGTTACAGACTGCATACAGGTCATAAAGGAAGTCAGTATCGCCATGTTTCCAAGTTGCAGGCCACGGGGCCAGATTCTTCATGCTCTGACTGCGTTTCACCACATGGGGAGTCATATCCAGACCGCTTATCGGAACGCGAATGAGGGTGGAGAGCTTGTTTCGCCGTTTGCCCACCTGGCGAAAACGCTTGAGGTGCAGGATGAGGATGTCAGGCAGGGTCCATAAGCTCATCTTCACCATACCCTGCTGCATCTGCTTACAGTGGGGGCACTTCCACGCATCATCTGGCGCCAGCTGCAAGGGGAATAAAAACATTTGCTATAAACAGTCCAGAACTCATTTGTGATGTATGTCACAGACAACAGATCAATGTAGTTAGTCAGATGCCCCCCATGTGGGATTCAAAAGCACAGACAAATAAATAACATTTTCTTTCTTGGGTTTGTTAAAATGCAGGTTTCTCCATGGTCAACTAAACCATGTCATTATCTGAACCTGTTTTGTCTCGGTGTGGTGCAGTTCCAGATTTATATAATCTCTGGAATACACTGCCGCGACAAACTGGATTGCAGTGAACATGCAGAGAGGAAAGGACAACAGCATCTGAATATTTGCAGGACCTCTGCAGAACATCAGTAAATTGTTATTTATATCTTCAAAATATGTACAGACAAATGCATGATTTAATTGCTGCTGGAAGCCATATCCCACATGCACGGCACACTATGTTAAAATATATATTTTTTCCATAACTGAAGTCCTGGTAGATGTGTTGTCTCATGAACGACATGACACTGTTAGAGGATCGATAATACATTTGTGGAGCCAATCATGATGAGGTAACTCTCAGGGGTTCATGGGTAAGATTTATCAAGTGGTACTTGTCAAGAACAGGCAGTATATAGAGAAGAATGAATTCAGAGTGACCGTTCAAAGAGAGTGAGTGGATGTGGGACGTGAGAGACAAAAACGGTAGGTGGGAGACCATCTCCATTTACTCCTCAAGTGGTTTTTTAAATCCGCTTGAATAATCTTGAATATGGAATAGCGATTGGTCCTGCTAATCGAAATGTCTAATGCCTTGCCTCTCAAGCGTAGATTCCACAGAGAACCTTTTGTACTGCATTAGTTCCCACTTGTGTCAAAAAACAACAGTTTTTATTCAACATTTTCCCACCAGGATTTATTTTTTGACCTATAAGAGTGCATATAAAAAAAACACAGCATTATGTTCATTTTGGTGAAATACTTCTTAACTGAAATAAGTTCTCGATCTGAACAATTATGACTGCTACATCAAATTTAATCAAATGCTCCTGACAGCCTAACAACATAATTGATTCAGATCCTGAAAATCCTAACAACATAAATGCTCTGCTAGAATACAGATTTATATAATTGGTTGGCTCTTATGTTAGATTGTAGAGCTCTCTACATCATAAGAGATTTCAGTGCAATCACTGTTTCAAGTATTTTTTTGGTTTCTTCATGTTCAGTCCATGTTTTTAGACCTGAATTTAGTTTTTGCTTTTCATCAAAACCCACATTAGCCTCTGAGACAACAAACACAGATGACAGCAACAGGCCACTTCAGTGTCACTAAACTCATAACCAGACAGACCTAGAATAGAACATTATGAAATATAAACAAATAAATAAGAGGAACTCATTTTCATTTCAGCTCTGGTTGACAATTCAGTCATTAAGTTACCCTCATGTCTTTCTAACTTCTGCTATTAATGTGGAACCCAAACATTATTTTTGAAGAATTGTTTCACAAATTGAATGGAATTAACAGTGCAATTACAGTTACATTATGTTTACATTTTAATCATTTAGCAGATGCTTTTATCCAAAGAGACCTACAAACGAGGACAAAAGAAGCAATCAAAACCAACAAAAGAGCAATAATATGCAAGTGCTATGACAAGTCTCGGTTAGCTCAACACAGTAGCAAGGTTTTTTTTAATATTTATAATTAATAAAAGAAAAGCAAATAGAAAAAGTAAGTAGTGTTAGAGGGTATTTTTTATAATAAATAAAAAAAACAATTAGATAAAATAGAAAAAGATTAGAGAAATGTAGTGTTAGAGGCTCTCTCTCTTTAAAAAACAAAACAAAAAAACAGGTAGTTAGAAATCGATAGAGAGTGCAAGTGTTAGAGGGTCAAGTTTTGTTTTGTTTGTTTGTTTTTAATAAAAAAGAAAACAAATAGATACAATAGAATTAGAATAGAGAGTGCTAGAGTTAGATGGTCAAATGAAGATGGAAGAGATGTGTTTACAAATCAAACGCTGTTCTTTTGAATTTTGTTCATCAAAGAATCCTGAAAAAAATCAGTTTTTAACATTGATAATAATTAGCATTCTCACCAACAAAAATGGTTTTAAGTCAGATATTTTTTGCAGTATATCTTTTGCCGTAGTGTGTCAGTAGGAAACATCCATTTATATTTCCAAACATTCTTTTTGCCATTAATTGTAATAATTCAGTGAGATTTTTGTCTGACAACAGCCAGTGCTCCATACATAGATAAGGGGCCCGCTCTTTGTACGTCGCTAACTCAGTTAGCTGGATTTGTTTGTTGATGATTTGGCATGATCTTGGATTGGTTGGTTCTTCGAAGCTCATCCCGGAGTTGCTGTCATAGCAACAGGTCCTTAAGCTTAAACCTGCTCGGGAGCACGCATTTTTCATGTAAACAGGATTAGATTGCATCTTTGTAAGCAGAACTGATACTTACAATCTGTCCCAGCCACTGATTTATTAGAAGAGTATCCTACTGATCCAGGGACAGTAATTTACAATGATAATTAAAAAATGAATACAAAAAAATATTATAATGTTGTGTAGTTATAATCTATAACACTATAGACACAGCCAGGTTTACTCATTGAAAAATGTATTTGTGATGAAATAATTACATTATAATTGTACTGGAGTCTTACACACATGCTATACAATTAATCTGAGCCATGCATTAATTTGAGTGGTGACAGCTATTATGGGAGTGGTTTGATGGAGCGCAGAAGATGCAGATAACTTGATCTTGACCCTTAAGAAACTTTAACTAACGCTGTCACATAACAAATCTGCTTCAAAGATAAAAATAAATGAATTGCTAATTACAACACTGAAATAAAAAATGTAAAGACTGTAAAAATACTAGAAATCATGAATATAAATAATTGGGAATCATGTAAAAAAAAAAAAAAACAGTGCACGTTTCATTTATCTATTATTACATTTATGTAGTTTTGTTCGCTTGGCTGTTTCCAGAAATTTGTCAAGTTTTTTCGTCAGGTGTCTTTTTTAAATATATGATGTCATTACATAGCTGTCTTGCCGCCAGCCAATCGCTGCATTGCTGATCGTGGTCTTGAGTATCGATACATCTGCCATTTTTGGGGGAACATGACTTAATCCAGATATTTTATTCAAATCCGCAAATTCGTTTGAAGAACCAAATTAGCCAGAGATCAGTTATCACGATTACTAGATCTGGAATCTTTCAAATCATCTCAGATGTATTAAGCGAGGTACAAAGAACGGACCCCTGATCTCATCATCATCCAGCCTGTATGGAATGACATGAAGAATCAGAAAAAAACTGAGGCCGATTAAATCCACAAAAACCGTGGCAATGCCTCCAAGATGCTTGAAGAAACCTTCCTGAAAAGCTACAATACTGTGAAAGGTTTTAGGCGCTAATAATGCAAGTGTAAATGTGTAAACATGCTGTAAAGTGAAGATGCATTCTAAAATAATGTCATAAATAGATTTTATTTATCATTTAACTTCTTTTAACTAAATCAAATCAACATCTGGTGTAACCACCCTTAGCATTTAAAACAGCTGGTGTCCTTGTGCATAGTTTTTCGGGTAGCTTTGCAGGAAGGCTTCTTCAAGAATCTTGGAGACGTTGTCACGGTTCTTCTGGATTTAGTCTGTCTCCGTTTTTTTCCTGATTCTTCAGAAATATATATATATATATATATATGCCATATACCGTGTATAGTATTTCTAGTATCTCTATATAGTTACTACACACATTCATATTTATCCAATCTTTAAATGAAAAGAGTAAGAAAACTGTATAAAAGAGAGAAATAAGCAGAGAGTGTGACTGGAGGAGAGAGTACCTGCTCCTCTTTAGTGTAGAGCTGAAAACACTCATCCAGCGTGCAGCTGTGCTGCTGTACATGATTCTGCTGCTGGATTCTCACACTCTCTGCATCCTCAATAACTTCCTCTTGAATGTTACCAAAGAGACTGAAACATATATGAATCACACATAAAATTACTTTTAAACCATATTACTGAGAAGACTCTTACTAATACTGGGAACTTGACACTTACGGTGGTTTTAAATTAAATGAATGGTACATTTAAATAAGAACATTTTATGAAGCTGCATGTATCTTACCATTCTTTGATTCTGTTCTCCCATTCAATCACAAGCTTCACATGCAGAGGACCACCAGGACCGCATAATTTCAGGGCCCTGTGAGAGAAAGACATGATTCAGACTGTAAGTTCGGTATTCAGACACTAGGGGGCAGACTATAATCAGTTAGTTCATAGTCAATTCAGTCTGACAGTACATAATTTGGCACACTGACACTGTCATTCTGTTCTATTTTGCCATTTTTTTTATATATATATATTTTTAAACTGAATTTACACTACTGTTCAAATGTCTGGGGTCAGTAAGATCTTTTTAAGGTTGTAATAATTTTATTCAGCACATTAAACAGATCAGACATTTGTTACAAAAGATTTTTATTTCAAACAAGTGCTGTTCTTTTGAACTTTCTATTAATTCAGATTCCTGAAAAAAAAGTTTCATGATTTCCACACTAATATTAAGCAACATATTTTTATTATAATTTAATGAAAGGGTTTTTTGGCCATTGATTGTGCAGTAAAGGAGGGAGGGTAACGAAACAACCGAGACAGGAGGTATGACATGCAGCTGGGTCATGACCAGAGTCAACTATAACAAATATGTCACACCACTGCGATACGGCTCTAATGTAATTTCATTTTCTAGAACATGTACTTTCACTCGTTTCATCATTACAAAAGACAAAAGTATAGAGGCTAAAAAAAAAAAGTCAGAACAATGGCCAGTTACTTTATCTTTCAAAATTGCAAGTCTAAAATTAGCTTTTTATTACTCATGTTAATTACTACTTGGATTAATCTGCAGGTCTCGCTATCATTACAGGTTCTCAGATTGAGAAAATCAATCAATCAAATATGGCCTATGGACACAAATGACAATAATCACCTGGCTAAACCACAAGAGAGAGGAAAAACACACCGCGTTCAAGCCCTCACTGCTCACCCTATGCAATTCTGCAAACAATCGATCAAATATGACAGAGGGAAAAGCTGCGGCAAAAAGGAGTGCAGGGTAATTTGAAGATGTGACTGGAGCATGGCTGAGTTTTTCTGAGAGCTAGGCTAAAGCCGCTGTGTTAATTGCGATTGTTTCTGAGAGGATTTAAATACAGGGAACAATAATTCAGAGGTGTGAGGGGAATTCACTTGAATTCATCAGCTCTGGTCTATTGAGAAGAAAGCTCTGACACACACACGCAAGGGTTTTCTTATCTCACACCGAACAACTTATCTTGTCTTATACACTGAACAATTTACCTTATCTCAACCTGAACTTTGGGGAGCCAAAACACACACACACACACACACACACACACACACACACACACACACACACACACACACACACACACACACACACACAGTTTCAGGAGTTACACTAACTAACTTTGCATGCTTTTTCTCCATTCTCTGAACTTGTGTTCGTTCGAACAATCTATTTGATGATAAATGTTTGTGGCATCCATATGCTTCCTGTCATTACTTGGAAAACGTGGTCTTCTTAACTAAATCTTGCTTGTGAAACCTCTAGATGAATGAATACATCTTCAGCAATGGCTGACAAACTTAATTACTTGCACAGTTAAAACGGCTGGCTTTCAGAACACAAGAGCAGCGGCTTGCGTCAGAGAACAGCAGGTAACCACATGAGAAATGGAATGTCTCTGCTATCATCTGAACATCATAATTACAAATAAACAACCTATTTATACAGTGACAGACATGGATGAGAGTGCAAAAATGAAGTGTTGGTAAGAAGAGGTGATCAGACACCTCAGCAACAAATTTTTCTCAAATCTGCACCAAGCAAAAAAGTACAGTGCTAGTATCCTGGTATAGTGATGCTATCAGATGGTAATACCATGGTATTGTATATATGGATCATTAGTAAAAGGAGACAAATTATGCCCTTTTTTACAATATGTAATATAAGTCTCTGGTGTCCCCAGAATGTGTCTGTGAAGTTTCAGCTCAAAATACTCTACAGATCATTTATTATATCATTTTGAAAATGCCTATTTTGAGTGGAAGCAGAAACACGCTGTTTTTCGGGCCTGTCTCTTTAAATGCAAATGAGCTGCTGCTCCCCGCCCCCTTTTCCAGAATAGAGCTGCGCCATTACAGCTGGTACCTGCTAAAAACATCTGTTTTGGTTCTGATTATAATGTTTATCGCACTGAAATCATGCGTTTTAAACCATATGAGTTTAAACTTCTGATATACAACATTGAATTGATCAAATGTGACAGTAAAGACATTTATAATGTAACAAAAAATGTTTTATTTCAAATAAGTGCTATTCTTTTGAAGTTTATTAATTCAGAATCCTGAAAAAATGTATCATGATTTTCTTCACTAATATTAAGCAACACAATTGTTTTTATACAATAATGTATTTTTACTATAATTTAATTAAAGGTTTGATTATGTAGTAAGGGGTGGGGGATAAGGAAACAACCGAGACGGGAAGTATGACATGCAACTGGGTAAAGACCAGACACAACTATAACGATTATGTCTTCTTACCGCAGTGATACAGCTCGAATGTAATTTTGTTTTCTAGAATATGTACTTTCACTTATTTTATCATTGCAAAACGAGACAAAAATATGAGGAAAACATATAGGGAGAGAGAAAAGGCAAAAAAAGTCTCAGAACAATGGTCCGTTAATTTATCCTTTTAAATTGCTAGTCTAAAAATAGCTTTTTATTACTCATGTTAATTACCAGTAGGATTCATCTATAGGTCTCACTATCATTACTGGTCCTCAGACTGAAAAAAATAAATCACTCAGATATGACCCATGCACACAAATGACAATAAAGACCTCGTTAAACCACAAGAAAAACACAAGCGTTCACAGCCTCGGCCCTCACTGTTCACCCTGTGCAATTCTGCAAAACATGTTTTTTCCGAGAGCTGGGCTAAAGCCAGATTAATTCTGACACGCAGTCCGTCTACGTTAATTGCGATTGTTTCTGAGAGGATTTAAAAGCAGGGAACAATAATTCAGAGACGTGAGGGGAATTCACTTAAATTCATAAACTCTGGTCTATTGAGAAGAAAGCTCTGACACATACGCAGGGGTTTTCTTATCTTACGCCGAACAACTTATCTTGTCTTACACTGAACAATTTACCTTCTCTCAACCTGAAATTTGGGGAGCTAAAACACACACACACACACACACACACACACACACACACAGAAACTTTGTCTCTGTAATTACATTAAAACTTTGCATGCTTTTTCTCTGTTCTCTGAACCTGGGTTCGTATGAACAATCTATTTGATGATAAATGTTTGTGGCATCCATATGCTTCCTGTCATTACTTGGAAAACGTGGTCTTCTTAACTAAATCTTGCTTGTGAAACCTCTAGATGAATGAATACATCTTCAGCAATGGCTGACAAACTTAATTACTTGCACAGTTAAAACGGCTGGCTTTCAGAACACAAGAGCAGCGGCTTGCATCAGAGAACAGCAGGTAACCACATGAGAAATGGAATGTCTCTGCTATCATCTGAACATCATAATTACAAATAAACAACCTATTTATACAGTGACAGACATGGATGAGAGTGCAAAAATGAAGTGTTGGTAAGAAGAGGTGATCAGACACCTCAGCAACCTCAAATCTTCAAATCTGCACCAAGCAAAAAAGTACAGTGCTAGTATCCTGGTATAGTGATGCTATCAGATGGTAATACTGTATATATGTATATATGGATCATTAGTAAAAGGAGACAAATTATGCCCTTTTTTACAATATGTAATATAAGTCTCTGGTGTCCCCAGAATGTGTCTGTGAAGTTTCAGCTCAAAATACTCTACAGATCATTTATTATATCATTTTGAAAATGCCTATTTTGAGTGGAAGCAGAAACACGCTGTTTTTCGGGCCTGTCTCTTTAAATGCAAATGAGCTGCTGCTCCCCGCCCCCTTTTCCAGAATAGAGCTGTGCCATTACAGCTGGTACCTGCTAAAAACATCTGTTTTGGTTCTGATTATAATGTTTATCGCACTGAAATCATGCGTTTTAAACCATATGAGTTTAAACTTCTGATATACGGTTTTCTGAGAGCACACATCTGAAGCACACGTACAGAAAGCGGCTGTCACAGCATGTGAGTACTAAACTAAGTTCTCAATCTCACACAAGTTTACGGCAGCAGCAATATACAGTAAATAAATCAATAAATCCACTGCTGTCTTGTCTCCTCTGAGGCTGGGACTCTAAACAGTGTTCTGTGCTTGTCTGTGCAGCCAAAGACAGAACAGTTAGCGTGTTTTGCTCAAACTTTCATCATGGAATTAGAACTAATACACCGTTGTCACTTGCGAAAAACACAATAACAGCGCCGTGGGTGTAAACTTACAGATTAAGGGGCGGTAATATTATAATGAGATCACTTTGCCACGTCACCAAGGGAGCGAAATCAGACGCGCTCGTTTTCTCAGATGCTTGCAGAAAAAGGCTTACCAAAACAAAGTTACTGGGTTAAACTTTCTCACGTTTCCTTGGTTGGTAGATGCACAGGGGACCTGATTATAGCACTTAAAACCTGGAAAAGTCAGATTTTCATGATATGTCACCTTTAATGCTCACAAATGTTATTAAACTACAAATTATTTTGCAGAAATGATGTTAATGTACTTTTTAATGCTAACAAATGTCATTAAACTTTAGTTCACATAAAATTAGCTTAATTAGTAATTTTAAGCACTTCACAAACTATTCACATTAACATATTATTCATTAACTCATAACTCATTATGAGCAGTCGTCTGAATGGCAAAAAGTGTCCCAAATGACCTGAATTCACCCTATTTACACATCTTTACAAATCATTTATTAATTATTTGTTCATGTTTTTGCAGTACTCAATCTAAAGTGGAAAATATTCATCATTTGTAAATTTTTATACATGTTTACTAATCATTTAGTGTCTTTATGGGCATTGGACTTTTAGCTGCTGTAATGATGTTTGTGTAAAGGGTAGTTAGTTAAGTTTTGCTAAATGCTTGCTAAAGACATAACACACATTTTAATTTGGGTGCAAAACATGTTTTATCGCCTTAACAGTCGTGGCCTAATGGTTAGAGAGTCGGACTTGTAACCCTTGTGAGTTAGAGTCTCGGTACCATCAGGGATTGCGGGTGGGGGGAGTGAATGTACAGCACTCTCTTCCACCTTCAATACCACGACTGAGGTGCCCTTGAGCAAGGCACCGAACCCCCAACTGCCCCCTGGGCGCCGCAGCAAAAAATGGCTGCCCACTGCTCCGGGTGTGTGTTCACTGCTGTGTGTGTGCACTTTGGATGGGATAAATGCAGAGCACTAATTCCGAGTATGGGTCACCATACTTGGCCACATGTCACGTCACTTCAAAGAAAATCAGTTTTCCATGAAAACAATTGTTCATTTATCAAAACAATGTAATATAAACATATTGAATGTGTTCCCTTATATTAATCAAATTGACCCCTTAACCAACCCGTAGACCTACCAATAACACCAAACCTGTCCCTAATGCAAAAGTTGTGCATTAACAAAAGGTTTTAATTACTGAATAACATATGTTAAAATCATTTGTAGATTTTCAAGAAGTGCATGATCATATGAACTGAAAGTTTGATGACATTTGTAAGCATATTCATTTTACATAAAAAAAGGATCTATTAATAATTAGGTAATGTTTAATAAGTTTATTAAACATTAACAAGCACATTATCTCATATTTCTAGCTATTTTAATATATATTAACAAATGATCCGTTTAGCATTATATAATGTTTGATTTTAAGTGTTATCCAACTGAATATACATGTTGGTTGCACCATGCCTTTCATGGTCACACCACATGAGTTTCATTTAACAGAGAAAAACAAATCGTATTAATATTTATTTTCAATATAAACACACACGCATGCATGCACGCGCACGCACACACACACACATTGTGTTTCCATGTTTTATGGGGACATTCCATAGGCGTAATGTTTTTTCTACTGTCCAAACTGTACTTTCTACCCTATACCCTAAACCTACCCCTCACAGGAAACTTTCAGCATTTTTAGATTTTCAAAAAACTTTATTCTGTATGATTTATAAGCTTGTTTCCTCATGGGGACCTAAAAAATATCCTTGTGGGGACATTTGGTCCCCATAACGTGATAAATACCAGGTACACACACACACACGGACACAGACACACACACAGCCTTCAAACTCCATAGTTTGTGATTTCATACATAATCTGCTCTAAGGATCCATTCCATTTTACTGAACTCTAATTTAAAAACATTAAACTTTAAAGTAGAACACATTCACAAATAAAAACGTCATAATTCTGTTATATTCACTTCAGAGGGAGGAAAACAGCCCAGAATAGCAGGCAGAGAAGCGAACGAGGCTGCCGTCACGACTGTGGAACTGAGTTTTAAGCTCTTTAAATTGAGAAATGGATCATTGGCTTTTGAGACTGTGTGTTACACCTACAGCACTGAGAGGATGAGCTCTTCATGCTTTGGCTTGTTGGGTTTGTCTCTCTAGAGCCTCACAAACATGATGCAGAGGAGAGGATACAATTAGTGCAAACTAGGTTAAAATACTGTGATGTGGGTGTTTGGAGACCAATTAAAAAGTTTAAAGCAGCTGGAGATATTAACTTTAGTGCCACTGAAGAGCATTTAGGGTATACAGAAAACATTCGGTATCAAGGAATTTCTATACATACACTACAGTTCAGAAGTTTGGGGTCAGTATGATTTAAAAAAAAAAAATGTTTTAAAGAAATTGACACTTTCATTTAGCAAGGATTGGAAATTAAATAAATGCTGCTCTTTTGAACTTTCTATACATCAAAGAATCCTGAAATCACAGCTTCCACAAAATATTATGCAGCACAAATGTTTCCAACTTTGATAATAATACAAAATGTTACTTGAGCACCAAACCAGCATATAAGAATGATTTCTGAAGGATCATGTGACCCTGAAGACTGGAGTAATGGCTTCTGAAAATTCAGCTTTGTCATCACAGTAATACATTACATTTTGAAATATATGTTAAAATACAAAACATTTCTTCTAAATTATAATATTTTACAATATTATGGTTTTACTGTGTTGTTGATCAAATAAGAGCAACCGTAGAGAGAATCTTTCAAAAACATTCAAATTAGCCTGTGTTTTACTCACCCTCAAGCCATCCTAGGTGTATATGACTTTCTTCTTTCAGACAAATCCAATCGGAGTTATATTAAAAATTGTTCTGGCTCTTCTAAGCTCTATCATTGTAGTGGGCGGGTGTTTCTGTTTAACAGTCCAAAACATGTTAAATAAAGCGCACGCATCTATAATATAATGTGCCTCACACGGCTCTGGGGGTGAATGAAGGCCTCCTGTAGCGAATCCATGCGTTTTTGTAAGAAAAATATCCATATTTCAAACGTAATAAACACTTTTCTCTCATTTCTGCTGACTGTCGTATGCAGAAGCGTTCTGGGGGATGATGAAGGACGTATGCATCGTGCACGCTCCTCTGAGATATGCTAGTCTCATGAGTTTGTTTAAGGAAGCAAAGTTTCCTTACTTTAGCAAAGGAAAACCAGTCTCCTCTTGGCTTATATGGAAATCCTCCGACATTTTTCTTTACAAATACTTGTTTTGTGCTTCTAATTCATGACCGGCGTTTTGTTCTCTCTCCGCGTTTGTCACTAATCACGCAACGCCGACGTCCTACGTCATCCGCCGGAACTGCTTCCGCATATGACAGATAGCGGAAGTGATAGAAAAGTGTTTATTACGTTTGAAATATGGATATTTTTTTTTACAAAAATGCATGGATTTGCTACAGGAGGCCTTCATTCACCCCCGGAGCCGTTTGAGGCACGTTTTATGGATGCACGCGCTTTATTTAACATGTTTTGGACTGTTAAACAGAAACACCCGCCCACTACAATGTTAGAGCTTGAAAAGCCAGGACAATTTTTACAGTTTTTTTTACAAATCGCTATGACAATTTTTTCAATACTTTAAACAATTTTCCTAAACTATTAACGCAGTTAGCACAACATTCGTCTGTGTGTAGGCAATACAATTAACGCATTTCTTGTTGCTTTGACACAAAATGCATACAGTTAACACAAATTTGCACAAAAACGCTAGAACTTCTTTTACAAACAAGCTCAACCAAGACCAAAACAATGGCTTTTTACTGCCAAATTTACAAATGCTTTCACTCTGTATGTCAGAACAGATAACATCATGTTCTAAACCTAACTTATAGGCTAAAGTCAAAGTAAACAGCTGTTCATATTGCGAATTGAAACTCAAATATATCCCGTTTTTTATTCATTAATGAGAAACAGCTGATTGAAGTTTTGCAAATATATAAATTACAGCTGATTCTCATCTAGGAAGCACACTCAGGTGTTGAGGTTCTTTCAATCGCATGATCATATGGTATACAGTAAAAGAGGACCTCTTTGGGCTGATCTTGTCTGGAAAAGTGCACTCCTGCATAAATGTGAGATTTTAGAAAACCTGCACGAAAGACTGGTGCCAGAGGTAGAAAGGTGATGGGTGGGAAACCACTTGCCAATATATGTGATCACATGGAACACCAATCCCGTGCAGTCACAGACTGGTTTGACACCCATTCGAGAATGATGTCCATTTACCAAACCCAACAAAACGAAAATGTAGAGAGGCTTAAAAAAAAACTGCAAACCACAATCTATGATCAATACAATATACTATTGTATAAGGGAAGATCTGACACATAAAATAATGCAGTTTCTGTAATTCCGTCTGATGTTAGTGTTTTTATGACATTGTGCTATGATCGATTAAATGTTCCTGTTGAAAGAGAACATGTGTTAGTGTTTTGGAATAATTATTTGATTTTAAAATATGTTTGCAGTGTTTTGGTAGACAAGGTGGATTGTGTTAGTGTATTATTGTATTTTGAAAATTAGTGTTGGAGTTTAATTTACAATGTGTGATATTGAGCATGAAATTAATTGTTTTGCCAATTGTGTGTTGTAGGTGTGTTGGTGCGTTAAGAGTTTAGGAAAATTGTTATGAGAATTGAAAAAAAAAAACTAATATAACTCCGATTGGATTCGTCTGAAAGAAGAGAGTCATATACACCTAGGATGGCTTGAGGGTGAGTAAAACAGGCTAATTTTCATTTTTGGGTGAACTAACCCTTTAAATAATTGTACCGCTACCAAACCTTCGAACAGAAGTGTATATTTAGTGCTTTGTTTTTTTCGCCTGGGTTATGTGAGCTCACCTATCCACGGTTGGGTGGCACAGAGGTCTGCTGTCGTGGGGAGACAGGTAACTGCAGGAAGCCGACCCACCCACCACACGAATCCTAAACAGTTCAGTAGTCTGTAGAAGGAAAATTAAAACTACTCATCAAAAATGTAACACCAAATTGTTGATTCACCCCACCTGTAGCTTCATTTAACTAAAGTCCTTATATGAATACGAACTGCATGAAGATTCTTCAAAAACTGCAATTTTGTGTTCCATAAAAATAACAGTATTCAGGTTTGGAATGACATAAGGGTGTGCACAGTGGTTCTAGAAAGTTTGTGAACCCTTAAAATCTGCTTTTTTGGATCAATTTGACCAACATTAAAGAAAAAAAAAAAGTACTCACCCTAAACTTTGAAACAGTAATGTAATACCTTTATTCAGCAAGAATGCATTAAAGGGGTCCTATTATGCTTTTTTAATTTTAGTCAGTGTGTAGTGTGCATGTTTGGGCATAAAAAAGATCTAGAAAGTTACAAATCTCAACGTCCACTCCAAAGGGAGATATTTCATTTTTTAAAAATCATTTTTCAAGAACTACGACGAACGGCTCGTTTGGACTATAGCGTTTGTTTTCCGGGCTTTGTGATATCACAAAGCGGCTCATTAGAATATCATTAAAAATAATTCCCACCTACGGAGACTCGAATGGTTGGGGGGTGGGGAGGGGGGAGGTTGTGGTTAGAATGCTTGGTTGAGTGAGCGCATCAGACGAGACGACGAAGAAGTGCTGCTGCAGAGTTAGTGCATCAGAGAAAACGAAGAAGAGCTGCTGTGCTGTAGCTTAAAATTTTCGGCATGTCTAGAACAATTCTTACAAGTACAACACGACGTAGCTAGGAGCCGCGGACAGATGCCGAACGGTGCCGCCGGTGTGCCTACTCTCATAGAAAATAAAGTATTTTAATTTTAAAGATGTGGCGTGACTCGTCTGGTGCGCAACCGCCTGAAACGCAGTTTTTTTTCACCTCCGTGCCCAAACGTCTTTGTTTGGGCTTCCGAAAGCGGATGATGTCAGGAAACAGTGGTTGCAATTTATTTTTTAACTCTGTTCCTGAGCATTATAACTCCAATTTGCTATTGTGTGCTGCGCATTTTACTGAGGACAGCTTCCACATCACCAGGGAGTAAAGTGCCGGATTCGCCCAAAAGTTTTTGTTGAAAGACAGAGCAAGGGGCGTGGCAGTAATGAAACACTGTCTAAGCTGTTCGCCAATCACAACGCACTGGGACAGCTAACCAATCACAACACATTTTGTTTTTCGGAAGGTGGACCTTCATCAAAGCCGGAACTAATCAAGCCGTTTGTGCCAGCCTGGGGAGAAATGTATTGTCATAATGTAAATTATGTGAAAAATAATGCGTTTTTCGAACCACCAAGCATGAGAGCATGTTCTAGTACACCCCCAAAACAAAATCAAGACTTTGTAAAAGAGCATAATAGGACCCCTTTAAATTAATCAAAAGTGACAGTAAACACTTTTACATTGTTACAAAAATACCACTTCAAAGGATCATGAACAGACATATTAAGCAGTACAACTGTTTTCAAGATTGACAATAATAAGAAATGTTACTTGAGCACTAAATCAGCATTTTAGAAAGATTTCTGAATTATCATGTGACACTGACTGAAGTAATGGCTGCTGAAAAATCAGCTTTGCCATCACATAAAAACATTAAAATACAAAACATTTGTTTTTGAAATAATATATTGCAATATTACTGTTTTACTGTATTTTGATCAAATAATTGCAGTCTTTGTGCAATTATTTCTTCTTTTTTTCCTTTGAAAAACACGCAAACAAAAAATCTTAGTAACCCAAACTTTTGAAAAGAAGTTTGTATAGATCAGATCTTCTGATAATGTTGATTTAAGAGTGAACCTTTGCCTTCAGAATCTGGTTTGACCAACTTGAGAGACAATAATGGCAATCAAATGTTTTTTGTAACTGGGGATCAGACCTATTTGTGTGTTAAGGTCGTTGTCTTTTTTGCAGGACCCACTTTCTGTTGAGCTTCAGTTCAAGGACTGAAAAACCCTGTAGAAAACACAGGGTCATTGTTCCATCAATGATGCCAAGCCTAGTACAGAGGCAGCAAATCAGCTCCAAACAATAATAATGCCACCACCATGCTTTACATTTGGGATGAGGCTCATATTATTGAATGCACTGTTTTGGTTTCCCCCAAATGTAATGCTTCTCATTTAAACCAATGGCTATTTTTAGGCCTCATCTGTCTACAAGACATTCTTCCAATAGTCTTCTGGCTCACCCACGTGGTCCTTGGCAAATTTTAGATGAGTAGCAATATTCTTCTTGGAGAGCAGTGGCTTCCTAGACCATGATTACAGATTACATTTTACACGAAGATTACATCTAGGTTACTCATTTTAGGTAATGTATTCTAAATACTTTTTAGCTTACTTTTAGATTACTTTTTATCAAACATGTTTTAAACTTTCCATTAAACATACCATTTTGATATGAAAAAAAACAAAGGGAAAGAAAATATATTCCTTGAAATATTTCTTTCTGTTTTTGGGAATGTAATCAAAGCTGAATGGTATGACACACAGTCAGTAGCATTTTTAGAAATTAACATTTAAAAGTGGAAAAAATTTGAATTAGGGAGAATCAATAAATTATGAATAATTTAATGCCATTGTGTGAATAATATGTAATCATGTAATCCATAAAGTAACTGTAATCTGATTATGAGCATTTGAAAATGTAATCTAATTACGTAATCCAGATTACATGTAATCAGTTATTACCCAGCACTGCTCATTGCTGTGCTGACATGCATACCATTCCTGTTCAGTGTTTGCTTGATGGTGACGGATTATAAACACTAATCGCAGACAATGTAAAAGAGGCCTGGGGATCCTATAGGTGTTACCCTCGGGCCTTTCCTTGAGTATTACTTGTCTTGCTCCTGGAGTGATTTTTGTTAGACAACCACTCAAAAGTAGAGTAACATTGTAGCTGAGATTCTTCCACTTGTAATCTGTAATATGTACTGTAATCTGATTGAACCTTTTCCAGTCTGGGGTGCATCAACAATGATTTTCTGGAAGTCCTCGGAAATGTCTATGACCAAGAAATATTTATGTGTTGATCAATGTTTATATGTGAATAAGAGCCTGAATGAAATATGTTTGACATATAACACAATCAAGCCTCTTCAGAAGACTAATTGAACAGCTTGGTTCATATGTATCACTTTTATGATCTCTTAATCAACTTTCGGTGGAATGCACTTTCAATGGAGGGACAGAAACCTCTCAGGTTTCATGAAAAGTAACTTCATTTGTGTTTCAAAGATGAACTAAAGTCTTACGGATTTGGAGCAACATGAGAATAACTAAATGACAGAATTATTTTTGGGTGAACTAACCCTTTAACCTCCAGGTTTATGTTTGAATAGACTAGGGACTGCTAAACACAATTTTTACCCCATTATTTTTAATTATATGATAATAAACGTATACACTTCCTGGAAAATTTTGTCAATGCATGAGTGACAACATTTCAAAATCTTGATTCATAAACATTCTAGCACCACTGAAAATAATGTAAACAGTTTCCTGATAATATCACATTCTTTGCATTAAATTTATTGCATTAAGAGTTTTGAAAAATTTGCTTTCTCTGGGAATGACAGCAGCATGAGTTATAGTGGAACTGAGGAAGAGAGGAACATCAGGCTCTAAAGATGCAATTTAAAGCAGAATTAGAGGAAAATGGAGCTGTACTCAAGCGTACAGAGTGATAAATTAAAGATTTAATGGGAAACAATGAACAGATGAAAACGGCAGCTGACTTTTGTTTGAGAAGGTGAGTTTATATTGGTACTTTAATTTATTACGGTGTGAAGACATTACAAGAATACAACTCTGCTCTCTGCAGTACTGGCCAATCTGTTGTACTGAACCAATTAGGAAACATTGTAAGATCTCTTGTGTCTTTCTTTCTCATTAATTTTCTGAAATACGTTCTAACACATTTAGTTTGCTGTGCAGTGCAAAGCTCATATACAATCTATCAGGTTTAATATTGTAAGTAAAAATAAGTTGTGAGAATTAGCATAGAAAAAAAAGAGTCAGTGAACAGGACCGGTGTTACAACACAGTGACATCCAGTTTTAAAGACTTACTGTTCAAAGTGGCATTTAATGCATTAGTTAATTTGATATACAGTATGTAAGCTGTTAGTCAGTCAAACATATTTCTACTAAAGTGGTTAAAATGTATTTTAGATTTTAACTCAAGATGATTCCCTGACATTGCAAACTTTAAAGTTAAACTAGTCTCTCTTTTTCTTATTCACATTCATTTTCAGTCAGTAACTCCAACAGGTGTGTATTTAATAAGAGTAAAAAAGAATCTATACTCATGACCGTCTCTCTTTCTCTTCATCTCTCCATCGCCTGTTCAACTTATTAGTCTCTATGATTATCCTTCTCCCATGTGCATATTTAAGCTTGCAGGGAGAGAGGTCTCATAATTACCGAGGGGTTTCTGTCATAATATAGAGATTCGGTATCCTATAATTACTTTAACTCTAACCACAGCATATGCGGCTAACACCAAAACCTGTGAGTAGTAATTTATGTTCAGCTCACACTCACCTTTATGATTGTATTTTTCTGAAATAAGTAAAGCTTATTGCAGACACACTGTTGCAGATGATCCCAAGACAGAGTCCTTTCTACTCTCTCCAGGATTGGAGGCCCAAACCTGGAGAGAAAAAGAGAAAGTCAAAATGTGTGTGTGTGTGTGTTTGTGTAAAAAACTGTCGATACAAACATAACTTCTGTAAATGAAATAAACACTGAATTTGCTAGTCTTTGAAATATATTCAGAGGTTTACTTGAAGCAATTTAGTAAGCATTTAGTTAACTAGACAGTTTGTGAATTGTGGACGGGGAGAAATTCTGACCACAGTCTATAAATATTTTTAATTTTTCCAGTGTTTTCTGTACAAACATTGGTAGAGACTGCTGTGCACTTTGATTGATTGATTGATTGACTGACTGATTTTCACATCAGTCTATTATTGTGGTATAAAAATGCATTTAAGATAAATATAATAAATTAATAAAGGAGTGGGATGACCAGCTGGTCATCATTTATCAACTATTTAAAAAAAATTATAACATATATATATATATATGGGCACTTGAGTCGAGTCGCATTTTTATAGACTTCATATATATATATATATATGATTTCTTGAGAGATAAAAAATAGTTTGGATCTGTTTCGAGGAAGACGATACAGTCAGCCAGATGGCAACAATTCAAAAGCAGAGGCAAGGAGATGCCTCTTATCACTCACTAGGTTATTTGCCGTATTTAACACTCTCTCTTTGTATATATTTTCAATGCTTGGTAAAATAGTCCTTAATTTACTTGCCAATGTTAACTTTTCTTACTTATGCGAGACTACTGCACCACACAAATAAATAAGATTTCCCAAGAAATCTGCAAAACAGTTTCCCAGAAATCCGATATTACAGGTAGACCTGCCTGACAACATCAGTTGAATTAGAAGTAGACACATCAGACTGCTCAAGCAAGAAAGTGCACTTTGAAAGTGCCATAGAACCAATGCACTCGCACTCTTTAGGGAATTGAACCTAGGAATGGATTTAAAGTTGTCTCTGCACATTAAGTTGGGACAGAATCAACATTGCAAAAATTACACAATTCTCCTTTAAAACACCCTCTCAGATTGAAAATTTAAACCTGATACAGCTCTTTTAACTTTTGTTGCAAATGTTGAATCCGTGAGACAACTTCCAATATCAAATGTGGGCCAGAGGTTGCAGGAATCTGCCATTAAGGTGCAGTACACAAACACTTTCTTTCTCTTTCTCTCCCTTTTCTTTAGGCCCTAAAATGTCATCTTGACATTTGTAAGTGTTTCAGGGGAATACCCGTCATCTGTTTCCACGGGTGAGGGAGCGAGACTGTGTGCAGCTCTGATTGACAGCTGGAGGTTTGTGATGAAGACTGTGCCAGATGCAGCACTCCCCAGAGTCCAGGCGATCAGTGCAGCTGTAGGTGGAGCATGCAAGATGATCCCTGTTCTGCAGTTTACTTACTTGGATTATTGATTCTGACAGAGCTAACTGATCTGACTTGTATGAATTAATGTCTTTGTGCATCTTGAGCTGTCTCTTGTAAATATAGCAAAGGACTGGTGAATTACACTAATCTGCTTTTTTTGTGCAAATATGTAATACATTTATGTATATTTTTAAATGGGTAAAACAATTCAAAATCTAAATATATCCCTACACATATAACACACATTACATGTAAAGCTGAATCATTCATTTTATTATATATTGAACTACCATTCAAGGTTTGGGGTCAGCAAAATTTTGTCATGGTTTTTGAACAAGTCTTCCGCTCTCCAAGGCTGCATTTATTTGATGTAAAAAGTACAGTTGTGAAATATTATTAGAATTTAAAATAACTGTTTTATACTCCAGCCCTCAGTGTCACATGATCTATTACACATCATATGCTGATTTGGCACTTAAGAAAAATGTCAGATTATTTTCACAGTCGGAAAGAGTTGTGCTGCTTAATACATTTGTTTAAACCTTGACACATTGTTTGATTTAAAAATATGTTTAAAAGAAGAGTATTCATTTGAAATAGTACTGCTTGTAATATTTCAGATGGTCATCTTTAATCAATTTCAGGCATCCTTTATTGATAAAAGTAATAATTTGTTAAAAAATAAGACTAGCTAAAGTAAAGAAGTTAAAGTTCAGTTACACCACCTCCTTCAGTAAAATAAGGTGAAATATAAAGGCACAAGTATATGAATGTTTATCAGTAGTATAATACTATTGTTTTAATTGCCTTACAATTGTCTCCGCACATAAAGTTGGCACAGAATCTTAAATCATACTGATTCAATGTTTGCAGCAAAAGTTAAAAGAGCTGTATCAGGTTTAAATTTTCAATCTGAGAGGGTGTTTTAAAGGTGAATTGTGCAATTTTTGCAATGCAAGCATCGTAAAATAAATTAACATGGTCCATAACTCAATATCGTAGGCCAGGCTTAAAAAGTAACTTACCACTGAATTTTAAACAACATGTAAAGAATACACTGCTCTGGCTTACTGTCCATCAAAGGGTCCACTGAAAGGGTTAGAACATTTCTCGAAATCTCTTGTAAACTATTTGGTGTTCAGCTGGCAAAAAGGTTAGGAAACACTGACTTAGCATGTAACATTTGTTTAAAATGTAGTGCTTTGGTTACCTTGTAGCTTGTTGGCCAGACCCAGCAACATTGCAGATTAACAGGAGGATCTTTGAAGAACCACCCTGATTCAAGAATTCTGACGATAACGTCCCTGAGGGTGGTAACCTGTGACCTTCAGGCTCTGCAGTGTATGGCGAGGAAGGGAGGGAGTGATGGAACCCTACAGTGGATAAAAAGAAATAAGCATGTTATTAAATACTCTGTTAAATAGCAGTATAGAATTATAAGTAACTAGAATTTTATGCATAGTTTTTCTAGTCTTAAAAACGTGATAAGATAAAAAGGAAGGTCATTTATGTTTCATACATTTGCAGCAAGTACAATTCTGTAGCATTAACATTTTTATTTTTGCATTTTTATATGTACTCCACTCTGCATCATGCCTAACAATGTTCCTTAGCTGTTCTAAAATCACTGTAAAGCACAGCCTCTTATTGCATTACTACTGACAAGAAGCTTATTGCATTACTACTGACAATGAATATGTAAACGTAGGTGGTCACATGTTAATATGCTCTTGGTGATTTCAGCATATGATTTATGAATGACCCATTTTTGCAGCTTAGTTTCCCTAAGTGGTTTGAATGGAAAGTGGAGGGAAAATTGTGACCTATAGTACACAGTGTTCTCTGACTTCAGAAGATCAATCGTGTTTTCTATATGTTGTATCTAGTGTATCAGGATGTGTAGACACTAAGTAGTATTTGAAACATGTTGACTATCATTTCACATTTTACTTCTGCATCATTCCAACTTCCCTTTGGTTTCCTTTGTGACTGCTGGCATGCTATGATCTTTCACTTCAATCAGAAGTGGATGTTTGATCCCACAGTGTGATTAAAAACCAACAATGCAGGACGTCATACACAATCCTAAGCATGAAAAACTTTTGAACGTCAACAAACTCTATTGATGCCACTTTCTCTTATGTTACTTTTTCCACATCATGACAATTTAAAATGACAGTTTACTTTGAATGTTAATGTATAATGTTTTTTTTATTTTTTTTTATGCGTCTGATCATTTTTAAATCGGAAGACCAATGTTCATTTTATGGCAAACGTTTGGTGTAAATTCCATTTTAAAGAAAAATTGCAAATACAATTCCTATATATCTCTATTCGGATGGTAACTTGCAAAAGCAATCCAATGAAATATCATGTTTCAAGTGCTTATGTATCTTCCTTTCATGGCAGGATGGAAGTGGTTTCTCTCTCACTCTCTGATTCGCTCTCTATCACACACTCACAGCAGGCCTCAGTCGTCAGAGTCTCATTTGAGGGCCAGCTGGAGCAGATTGAATAGGGGAACTGTGAGCTTGTGAGAGCCTTAATTAAACTTGGCCCTCACTGACACACACACACACACACACATTTCACACTTTTACAAACACAAACACAAACACTAAGACCAGCCCACAGCTTGAATGCCTTTGTAGAACAATGCAGTTCTTTTGAATATGGACAGAATTCTTGCGTTCAGTTTTATTTTAAAGTTAAAGAAAAAGAAGTAGCGAGTCATGACAGACCTTTTTTTATTCTTGTGATGTGCATCCAAGTCCACTTGATGGGGACTTGATTCTAATGGAGGTAGATGAACAAGTTTGCAGAGGCGTTGTTTAAGCATTCTAAATGATTGTAAAAGTCCTGCATACAGAGAGAAGTCCACCAGAAGGTTCAGTTATGCTATTTTGATTATACATTATGAGGTTAGGTAAGTAAATGAATGAATGAATGGATTTATAACACTAATTTCTTTTAAAACCTCAAGTCAAGTCAAATTTATTTTTGTAACTTTTTTTTTTTACAACACGCATTGTTTCGAAGCAGCTTTACATATATCTTAATATCTTAATCTTCATGTTGCATTTAGCAGATTAGAGCTGTGTGCTAATATAGTTTTCCTTTTTGCAACGATATTAGAAATCAATAATTTGATATATGCTAAGTATACTGTATGTCGCTTTATTTGAGTGTAATGTATGTATTCGGATAAAGCTAGATATATATATATATATATATATATATACAACTTTATATATAGAGCATTGCAATAGTTAGGTTCACATTTTGTGATGACATAAACGATCACACAGCCAAGCTTTGCTATAGGATAATATTGCTTTACGGGAATATACTATACTTATGCAGGCAAAGGATGTATCCATCTTTGAACATTTAACTGGGCGATGATATGCTAACATTTTTCAAGAATATAACAATAAAGCATTAAAATACTTAAGGCTATGGGACTTTTAATAAGGTAATAAACTTCAATCACGACATTTTTCATTTGTACCACAACTCACATGATACAATACTTCAAAGAGAAAAGACTTAACATTACATTGTATGAGAGTCATGTGTTCCACTGTGGCTTTAAAGGAACATTTCTGGCTCAATACAAGTCAAGTAACTCGTACAGCACTTGTGACATAATGCTAATTCATTTTGGCTTGCTTACAAGCTTAACTTGTATTTAACTCCACCACACCAGTGTAGATACATGACAGAAAATCTCTGAGGAAGATGACGACTGTAATAGCAACATTAGATATGAGTAATTTATTAAAGGGGCAGTAAAAAAGCAGCCCATGCAGAATTAATTCGGTAACACTTTACAATAAGGTTCCATTAGTTAATGCTAGTTAATGTATTAACTAACATGAACAAACAATGAACAATACATTACAGTATTTATTCATCTTTGTTAATGTTAGTTAATGAAAACACAGTCGTTCATTGTTAGTTCATGTTAATTCACAGTGCATTAACTAATGTTAACAAGCACAACTTTTGATTTTAATAATGCATTAGTAAATGTTAAAATTAACATTAGCTAAGATTAATAAATGCTGTAGAAGTATTGTACATGCATAGTTCATGTTAACTTAAGTAGTTAACTAATGTTAACTAATGAACCTTATTGTAAAGTTTTACCATTAATTATTCACTGGTCTGGGCTTGAGAATCCAGACAATACCAGGGAAATATACAAGAGCGTTACACACCATCAGAGAAGTGAAGTGTGTTTTTGCTCAGTTACACATGACCTCCCCAAACCTCTATCAACTTAAGTTTCAGAGAGATCCAGATGTAAGCTGATCTAAGAATTGTTGAGACAGATGACCCTCTAACCTCATCTGCCAATCACATCTTCTCAAGGGAGGGCACTTTGTATATGTGCTAGAAAAGAGGGCAAAGATATTGTACAGTACCTGCTACCCAGACTGGGCCATCTAATTCATTTATACTTCAGCTACTATATGCTAGTATTAGTTTTCAAGTCTGTTAACTGGTTAACTTTAATATACACTAAAAACTTGTAGATGGATTATCACCACATTATATGTAAATTCATATATATGTAAAGTACTGTCAAATTTGTATTTTTGCATGCAAAACTAGGAGTTCATGTATAACTGACAGTAAAAAAGTAAATGAAAGGAAAGAAGTCCCTGTGTGACATATCATAAATGATTACATTTTATATAAGCAGTTTTGTTGCATTATTACTATTATTTTGTTGCATGTCGTATAAATATATTGTGTTGCATTATTTTATTGTAGTGTGTGTTACCATAACAGCGTTTTGTCTTCGTATGACACATAATACGTTTCTGGCGAATTTCTGGCAAGCACAGCTGACAGTTTTTTTTTTTATTGTAAATTGTACTGAACACTTCTATTAAAGTTAAATCTGATATTAAAACAGGAGGCTGACATCTCCATGACACTGTAAATAGATATAAATATTGAACAGAAAAATTAGAACCAATAATAACTACACTGTTAAAAAAAGAGATATTATTTTTATTTATTTTATGCATTGCATTGAAACTAACACCTGGCCTGCATTTGCCATGCTTTATTCCAAAGCAACTTACATTGCATTCAAGGTTTAAATGTTTTCAGTGCAAGCATTCGCTGGGAATCAAACCCATGACCTTGGTGTTGCTATAAACATGCTCTGCTCTTTGAACTACAGGAACAACATCTGTTCTGCCATTGTTTTATTGTAAGGCCAAAGGAAGATCCAACAGATTCTTAATAAAGTACCTAAATCACAGCAGTTTTACTCTTTGCATATGCTAAATGACTACTTAATACTTTTACTTTAGGGGTATTACATCACATAACATTGCTAATTACACATACAATATCCCAATTTGTAATATATCTTGAATCTGAGCGGGAGGTTCAACATGTTCTTATAAAAATGTGCCATTAAAAATACAGCCATTTTAAAATAGTGCTTTATAAGCTGTGACATAATTGCAGAGTGACAGAAGACACCAACTCACATTTTAGTGCCGATCGGTAACAGTCACTTGTAATGAGGCAGAGAGTCTATGACAAACTGTCTCTGAAGCTTTCGCTGCAGTAGTAGCTATATGCCTATAAAACATGCCTTCAAGCAAAGTCAGCAAAAAGTTATTTATAATGCAATTTAAAGTTTCTCACAGCTAGATGAACACTCTTAATATACTGCACATTGTAAAAAATAAATGAGGCCCAAGACAGAACTGGGCAGCACTTGTTTCCTGATATAGACAAGCTGTAATTACCATCTAAGGTAACTACAATTCACTGGAGCCTATGACAATTGGAAAATAAAGCAACATGGAATAATCCATAGATTTAAATCATTCAGAAGTGAAATAAGTGCAAATTAAAAGTGAAATTTCCTAATAACAATAACCTTTTTCAATAGGATCAGACCAAATGTTCTCGAAAGAGAGTGCTGTTTACATGCCTCAATACATCAACACAAATTAAAACTTATTTCAAGATGGCCTCCAGTCAAGCCAAATAGAGGAAGACGGATTATTCTTTGATCCTTAGTTCTGCCCAAGGTTACTTGCTAACACTATTTTATGGCATTTTTCCCTTGTAACCATGGGCTTGGTCATTGAAGGTCCAGCTCTAAAACCTCTTAAAACTCCAAATATATTTAAAAGAATTTACTTCAATTGAACTTACACATAGATCCATTCGTTATCATGTTTGTAGTAGAGGATTACACCACAATGAAGTTTATTTGGATGAAAGAACGCCGCATACAGATAAGAACAAGGGCGGACACTATAATTGCCAATCCATTTGTCTTTCTTTGCAGTAATCCCAGTGTTGTTATTTTTCATCAGATGGAATATCAATT